AGTATCCAGCCAGCTTGCTGGAGCACATGACAACAAATTCATTGGAAATGATATAAATGTGGGTGGTCAAGAAGAGCATATGCTGAACCCACAAATAGCTCAGGCCTTCAAATGAGTGCTGCCACAAAGTGCCTGTTCTGTCCTCTCCCACGTGGAAATGGCCGCCTGAAATCCATCTGTTTTAACTGTACTTAGTAATTTCTCACGTGCCATACAAATGTACTCTGAATTACATTAGTTCAAACTCATAATCTGGGCAGTGGGTGAAATCAGTATAATTGGCAAGAATATTTGCAGATATGGCTGAACAGTAAGAAGCTCCCAACCAAGACAAAAAAAAAAAAAAAAAAAAAAAAAAGCAAACCAGATAAGCAGTAGACATTTTGCTTTCTGGCACCAAGACACATTGCAAAATATCAGATCTTTCTCTAAGGATTTAGGGACAGATTCTATGGAGAAATGTAAAAATAAGTCATCCAAATACCTATCTATAATTTCTCCTTTTAATTGGATCTACGATCAAAAACTTACTCATTGATGGTTGGATTCTGTAGGGCATGTCTAGGGATTGACATTTTTTCCCCTGTACTATCATTTAATTCCCCAAACCAACAATTTTCCCATTCACTCCTGCTAAAAATATTGAACCTGTTAAGACTGACTATAATAAAATATACTCAAAGAAATGGTCATTATCACACACTTCAAAGTGATCTGTAAATAATTATGTATAAAATGTATGATACTTTGTCAGGCAATTTTTGAGTTTCATATCTCAATGTAAATTCTTGTAACAGCCTTTCACATTTATTTTTAGGAGTTTACCATAGTAAAGCAAACTCCTTCACTGCTGTTTTTTCTCTTTCACTTGGAGACTAATACTGTAAGCATCAGCCGTGAACTCTTATCATTCTCCTGCTATGGTTTGCAATGTAAATTCAATTTACAAATAATGTACTTGGTTCCAGTGTTAGGGTTACAGGCAAGACAATAATTACTGAAAATCATACTCCATCCTGTTTCTCATTTGAGCCTTCTATGGTGAATTTGATTAGAACTCAAGGTGCTTTTCAACAAAGACAAGCCAATCATGCACTCAAACACGTATGTTAATTTATGGACTTAAGATTCAGAAAATGCTATTTGCGTGTGGCAGGAAACATGCACCTGATGCTGACTGAAGTAAGCAGAAGGGCATACTACCTTTTATCTGGGAGACTAGTGCTTTATAGTAAAGAATATTTTGTGGGATGCATCTAGTGTGAATGAAAAAAAACAACTGAATATAAGTCATGTTACTCATACTGACCTGACATTTTCTGATTTAATGAGTGAAATTTTAACAGATTTATTCCAAAGTTGCCATCTATTTAAATCAAAGTAGTTACACCATTGTGAAGAAGAATACATTTTTCTAAATGTACTTGCAGCAACACCTATTTGCTCCTGTAGAGCTGAAGTAGAGGCACTCTGAGAATTCCACATAGATCTCTGTAAGAAGTTGAACATGACCTGCAGCAGAATTCTGAAAAGGTGATGTTCTCTCCCCCAGTGTGTTCCCTGTGGTCCTCAAATTGTGAGAAAGTGCATGAGAAAAATGATAAAAAGGGTTCTTGCAGCCAAAGACCTCCATAAGAAAGAGGTCTGAAAAATCTGGCAAGGAAATGGTTAAGAAATCAGGAATGACAGAACAGTGCACATCTTTATGCTTCTGAATGTATTTGTGCTCTTTAATGACCGTGCTTTCTTCCATTTTTTTTCTGTGTATCCCCTACCAAATGAATCTCTTTGAAGTGCAGAATATAAAATCCTTATCTTATCAATATCTTATATTAAGGTACCAACTGTCTTTCTTGACTTTGTTTTATATATGCCAAAAGTAGATTAATAAAGTGTAGTCTTTTAGTGAACTTGTAGACATGAATACTATCTGTAGCAATGATAGTGTATCAACAGCACAGTCTTCATCTGTCTATCAAAAGCTGTTTGTCTGAGATAGTCACCATTAATGCCATCTGCATCCATTGAAAACAAGAAGTTACTTTTACACCTCACTTTATCCCACTTTTTTTAGACAGCTGCTTTAAGATGAGGTGATTACGTCCCTAAAAGAGCTTATTTTTCTTCAGTAGCTGTTAGAAGCACTGACAAACAGCCACAGGCATCCAAATTTGATCGGATGAATGGCAATCCATAAAAATTCTCCCTTTCACATGAAGAAAAAACAATCAGAATCATAACTCTGGAAAGCAAATAAACTCACTACCACAATTGCAGCCAGTGATAAGTATGCTACAGGTGTACTGGCCATAATGAAGTAACAGTAAATAAATAAATAAATAAATAAATAAATAAATAGGTAAATAAATAGGTAAATTAAGAATTTGCAGAAATTGCTCAAGTGTGGGTAGAGTATTTGGTTAGTAATGTATCCTGCAAAGATAGGTAGTGAAGATGGAACTCCATTGACTAATTTGAATCTGCTGATTTGAGTCATGCAGGAGTTTAGGAGGAAAAAACATATTCAGCAATTTTTGAGTGGGACTTAGATAGATGAGCCAATGTGACTCAGACCCAATTATATAATCAAGTCACAATCAAGAGAATATTACTTTGTGTTCTTTTAATATTCCATGTGGATTTTTACCAAAAACAAAAGAAAGAAAGAAAAAAAAAAACAGAAAAAGATGGGTTACTTCTAGATATAGCAGTGTCCATGTGCACATTTACATGAAAAACAGAAAGAATAGAATGCGTCTATTTAGAAAGAATGAGTCTAAAAATGAAATATGATTCCATGGCAATGAAATTTGTAACAGGTGAAGGACAGAACACATCATTGCAATTAAATAAATCATATTTTACCACATGCCTGTATTTGGATGCCCAGTTAAGTACCCTATTACATGCAAAATGCAATTACCGTGTAAAGCTCTGTTAATTTTCAGGCACACCTGCTGAGCTCAGGGGTTGTCATTCAGGAACCAGCTCAGTTGCATGCTTTTGTTCACCACCTGTGAAAGATATTTGTGCGTCTGAAAGGAGGGTGGCACAGGTTATTAGAGAGGAAAACAGTGGCTTTTGCAGGTTCAGTAGGCAATCCCATTGTCTGTCCAACATAATGACAAATTTCATTACAGTTCCTAACTGGATCTCTGGCAGTGAAGCTTCTTTGTTCTGATGAGGGCATGTGGAGGGAGAGACCTTTCTCTGCTCAGACTGCAGATGCTTTTGATTTCTTGGATTTCATCTCCAACTGATGAGTTCTTGGCTATGCTTACCTACATTTTTTTGTATTCTTTTCTCTTCTTCCTTGACACATGCTATATGCCATTAGAGAGCAAAAAATACCGCTAGGACTTCTATTCTTAGTGTTGGTCCATTTGCTTTGTTGATTATCATTCTAACTGTCAAAGAAGTGAAATGCATTGATTTGCAATACCCATGCTCCGCAGTACTAGCTTTCACATTGTTGTTGCCTTGACAGGTAGTAACTGTTTCTGTTTTTCCTCATGAATGCTTTATGTGTGATTCAGAACAGTTCATGGTGACAGCTAAAACGCAGCAAGCAGCACTAACAGACATTTCTTAAATGTATTTCTTTGCCCTTTCTTCACATGAAGGATGCTAATAAGGGCTCAAGGCTCCCTGTATTGGTTGTTTTTAATTTATTTATTTATTTTCACAGAGGTTTGAATCATTACTCCTTAAATATCTTAATACTCACATAGATATGAAAGGTGATAGAAAGTGTGGATACCTACTGGAAAGATTCTCTGATTTATTTTACAGCTTTGGCTTTAATATGTTACTAAAACCAGATTTCTTCTTTGGACCAAAACTAACATTGTTTCACATTTTGATCTACTTTACTGTAAATTGGAGGCAATGCATTTGAAGGAACTGAATGCTGTGTGACTCGCAAGGCAAGCAGCAAATGGACAGGGAAGGGAAAAAGATGTAAGTGGTGGAGCAATCATTTCCCTCCAAGGCCCATAGATCCAGTCTATCCAGATCCCCCTGTGGGGCCTTGCTAACCTCAGGGGTTCACATCTCTGTCCTCGTCATCCTTTAGGGTTCTAGTTAGAAGGTGTGGCTGAATGCACAACAGCTCATTTCTGACATTTAAACCTCCCTTCCCTGAGCACCAAAGCACAGGAGGTCATGAGTGGAGCAAGGAATTTCAGCTGTGGAGCTCTGAAACATGAACCTTAACAGAAATTGCAGGTTCCAGGGTAATAAGATTGTGTACTGCTCACTGAGTGCTGGAGAGCACAGTGAACTCAAAGCACCACTTTTTTGAAGAGGATATTTCTGACTCTTTCTGTTTTGTGTCTTCTTTACTTTGTCTTACTCTATCACACCAGAAAAGCATGTAATAAAGAAATATAGGCAAATCGTCTTTCTTTCTCAATAGGAATTATGTGATTTATAGATGTATGAGATGATTCAAAAAAATTCTGAATATAACCATAAAAGTTTCCTGATGAAATCTTTCAGGCAGTAGTTCTCTCCTTTGAGTAACAAATATCTTTAAAAGTTACAAAACCAACACAGAGACACACACATTTATATGTGCGCAAGTATAGAGATCTATACAATCCATTATAGTCAAAAGCTTACCTTTATTCCAGTACATGGATTAAATTACACTGATTGGATTTGACTGGAAAATTCTAACTGAATTAAATGAAGGCTGGTTTTATGTATGTATTTGCACACAACAGAAGACGTGTGCATGCATAAGACAAATGTATTTCAGTATTAAAATCTGTATCAACAAAGTCTTCGGTTATACAATATTGTAAATGAACTGAGTAGTGATGGCCCAATGATATAATTTTGTTAAGCCAGAATTATATTTTCAGTCTCTTTTTAGGATGATAACATTTTAAGTATATTCTTATTGCCCATTTGTATACTAACTTCACCAAAAGCAAATTCAGTAAGAGGTAATGTTTACATATTTAATCCCTTTTCTTTTTGCTCTTTTCAAACAGAGATTGAAAGATTTAAAACAAAGGGAATTTGCTCGAAATGTGGCTTCAAAGTCATGGAAAGATGAAAAGAAACAGGAAAAAGCACTCAAGCGGCTCCACCAGCTTGCAGAGTTACGGAAACAGTCAGAATGGCAAGTATTTAAAATTTATACTACATTTTTATACCCTCTTTCCTCAATCCCAGAAGAAATCTTCAAATTTTTACTCCTCTACTCTCTACTGGACAGACATTGCATTTATTGTAACCTGTTTTCAGCTGTCCCCAATTCCTAATGTTCCTTTTCCACAAACCATAAAATTGAAAGTCCCTGAATTAATTACTTGCAATTTGAAGGCCTGTGTTTTACCCTCCTGTAACCAGTTATCTAATCTCTTGTGAACTGAGTGGTTTGAAGATGATTTTATATCACCATTTTATTTTATTAAAACTGACCTGAGTAGATAAGTATTACTGTCTTATCATTTTATAGTAAGTTAACATGAGAGGAAAAACACTTGTTAGCAAATGCATGCCTGGTCTGTGAATCATTTTCATTACTTTCAGTATATTGAGATTACTATCACCAATTTTTTTCTGTAGACTAATGGAAGTATCATTATACAAATGAAAAACAAGTAATTAACTTACTTAATTAACCCAGTTGTGTTAGTTCTATTGATGAATACCACGATACAGTATGAAGTTTACACTAATAAAGCTTCACTTTGAGAAATCTCCCTTGTTTAATGACACTGAATGCTTCAGTAGAATAGATTTCTACCAGACCAATTACTTATGTTAATCTATGACCATAATGGGTTAAGTAGATAATTAAACTAGCGTCCTTTTAAATTCATATCAAGCTTACAGTACCTTAGAAATAATAAAATTCGGTGTTTATGATACACTCATTTTGGCCAATGTAATTGCTTTTGAAATTTCAGCTGAAATATAACAGTTTATTGCTAATGTATCACTTTTATGGTTACAACTCCATTTTCATACAAATCTACGTAAAGAAAAGTAACGGCCTGAGGGAAGATGGCTTTATGTCTGTGTATCTGAAGATGTAGTTTGAGATAGACTGATAAGGTCAATAGTAATAGGAAGGTCTAAATGAGGCAGGAAAGGAACTGAGTCTGCTTATAGAAAGAACTAGGAGTCTAAAATCGATCACAAAGAGCCGGGAAGGACAGTGTTTGCTCTTCTTATTGGTAATGACAGATGGGTGGTGGACAGCTGGGATGTGATCTTGGCTGACGGGTCACACACCTGGCTGCTCAGGCAAGACAGAAGTCAGCCTTCCCAAGAAGTCTGCACATGCAAACAGCTGTTATTGCCCCCAAGTAACGTGTCTCACATTCCAACAGAGTTCCTTGCAACATGCTAATAAAAACTGACAGTAAAATTACTGTTAATCTGGTGCACAGGAAATTTGAAAAAATACGCTTACTTTGCTATTCCAAGGGGACATTGCAAAGGCTCTCTTCATTCACTTTGTACAAGACAGAATTTCTTCTTGATCTACAAATAGAGATGGATTTGTATTCCCCGATGCTAAATTTGTGACAAATGCAAATTTATTATCAGAAGCGCGTGTATAATCTCATATTCTGAGGTGAACCTACCCAGGGAGTCTTTATATTTCTCCCGCTGCTGGAGATCAATGCTTTTTTACAGCATGTCTAAAACGTGCCAGACTATTTATAACTTCTATGCAGATCTGAAGTTGCAATTTACTTGCATCTGATTAAAATATTTTCTATTCTTAATCAAATTGTTTACTGATGCAGGTTCCTTTTTTTTTTTTTTTTTAATGAAAGTGAATTGTGGTATGGCTTTGATAGCAAATGTAGATAATGTAACCAATGAAATGCATGTTTAAATATTAATTAGAATGACATTCATGTGGTGGCTACATACATCCCTAATGGAAAAAAAACAGAACAGTAGTTACTCCAATAACTCCATTCAGCTAGTCTTCTATTAAAAGCAATCAACAATTGCTTTTTTAACCACGTTTTTCAAGTTTTCTTAGAATAGGCTGATTTATTTTGTATTAAAGTACAAGAAAAGTAAACCACGGACTTAACATTTGAGGTTTTGGAGAAGAAGGAAAATTAATTGAAAGACAGTATGGAAGGAGAAAATATGACAAAGTCATATTTTGTCATGATAGTGATAATGAGAGTGCTGAATTTGCCATTAATGTTAATTGAACTCCACCTTTTGACTTTTTCCCCACCAATGTTTGGAGATAGTCTGAGCATTACTATTTCCTTGAATATTTCACAAAATCATCTATTGTGAAATAACATAAAGGTAAAATAAAATTTTTTCATCAAAAAGAAATCATACCTACACAGACACACAAATTAAGCAGAATGTTGCCTTTTCTGTTAAAGAGTGATTCTGCAGGTACAGAATATGAGTGGAAGTGCCTGTAAGTAACGCTTTTTCTTACCAGACAGGTATTGTCTGTCAAGTGTGAGTTCTGTTTTAGTTTGGTTAATTAATTCAATGTTTTTAATTTGCTTTCTTACAGCATTGCTGGTAGTGGACCAACACTTAAAGCCCCCAGATTAGTTGAAAAGCAGCAATCATCAGATGCATTTTTCCCCTACAAGGGTGGCAAGGTCACAGCCAAATCTCAAAGCACCATCACAAGTACAGGACAAGCTATCTCCAGCAGCGTACTGGAAAAACGGCAGCTTATCATAAGCAGGCGCCAGTCACCTACTGAAAGACTCCACATGCTTGGAAATCAAGTTTTACAAGTGCTCCCAGACAGTACCAGTGCTTCTCAAAGAGCAGGAGTATCTTTCTCATTCTCTAAAAAAGTCCCTTTGAAGCTTGAATCCTCAGCATCAGTCTTCAGTGAGAACTCTGAAGAAGGAAATGATTATAGTGAATCCCCCAATCATAAAACAAAGCAAGTTCTTGAGAGCTGTCATTCTGGTATACGTTTGGAAGAGGATGTAAAAGCAAGTCTAGATAAAGGGACACCAATTCCACAAGACCAAATGGATTTGGACAACAGTGCATCAAGTCATGGAGCTGTGAAACTTAAAATGCTGAAAGAAAATGATAAATGTAGTGTTAGAGAAATAGAAGAAGTCAGTGCTCATCCTTCACTTTCCAACGTCAAAATGCAGTTCTCAAATTTGGATTTTTCAGGTTCAGTAAAAGAAACAGAACAAGAGAGCAAATTGAATGTGTCTGAGCAATTGCTGGAAACACTTATTTCACCTTCATGCCAAGCTAGCAGTTTCTGTATACAATCAGATACCTACAAGCACAGCAATGCACACCTCTCTGAGCTCCCCCAACAGCTATCACCTGAGCTGACATGTGCAAGCTACATTAATGACTGTCCTAGCATGGTAAAGAGAGAAGGATCTTTAGAGACTTCAGAAATTAAAAACAGGAATATGGAAACCCTTCCAAGGAAGACAGTGGTTAAAGAGGCTAAGCTCCAGGCACTGCCTTTCCTCCACGTAGTGAGCAAGGATGGCAACACTGCTCTGCAGTGGCCAACAGAATTACTTTTGTTTACAAAAACTGAGCCCTGTATTTCATATGGCTGTAATCCACTGTATTTTGACTTCAGACTCTCTGTAAATCACAGGGATGGTAAACAGCATGAAACAAGCAAAGAAGGCTGTAAAGAGCACTCTATAAATAAGACTGTGGATGAAAATGAACCCTCAGGTTTAATAAAACACAAGCAAACGTCAAATGAACAAGATAATCAGTTGTTGAAACCAAAGAAGATGAAAGGTTCCCTAGATCCAAGAAAGGCCAAGCAAAAAGCTGAGTCAGACATAGGGAAAGAGATGAACAGAAATGGTCAAAAATACATTTCGGATTATTTGAATGAAAATATACCCAAAGTGCCTGTCTCACAAAAGGATTCTACCACAGAAAAAGATCTTCATACAACAATACTGAAAAGATCTTTAAGGCATCATTTCCATACCTGTGAAAGAAAAAAACAGAGCATAAGAAATGAAAGCATTTCCTTTTCTGCTTTTATGGCCAGGATTAAAAAATCTAAGGCTGAAAAGTGTGATTTAATTTATTCTGAGGAAAAACATGAAACCCAAAATGGCTGCAGACCCATTCAGAATGTTGCCAGCTGCAGCAGTGACATAAGTGACAGTGGAAAAGATTCCGGTGGAAGTTTCCTTAGTTATAAATCTGGTTCAAATAGCAGGCATTCAGAAAATGAAGGATGTGAAAGATGTTGGAGATTCCCATCTCCTCAAAAATCCTGCTCTGACAGACATTCCAGCTATTCTGATACTTCAGTTAGCAGCACAAGTAGCTACATGAACAGTTCCTCCAGTCCCACATTGAACAATCACAGCAGAAATAATTTGCTTTTTTGTTGCAAAAGAAAAACCAAGACAGATGAATGGCACAAATGTAAACACAGAAAGCACAACTGTAATTTCACTTCTGATGATGCAGATAAGGATTATCTTTGCCATACTAGATGTCACAGAAGTAGAAACTGCACACAGAGGGGCACAATTAAACATAAAAAATGTTCAAGACGTAAAGTTTTACAGCACAGAGATGGTTCTAAACACAGCAGATGTAGACACTGGCATTTTGGCAAAATGCACAGTAGAAGTAGAAGCTACAATGACTCCAAAAGTTCTTCCACCACAGATTCAAGAAGCAGAGATCAATCATCTTGCAGCAGAATATCAAGAGAAAGCAGTGCAGGGTCTTTCTCAAAAGAATATGACAATTATGAGAACAAAACAAGAGAGGACACAGAAAGAGATTCTAACATCAACACAGGAAAAGCTGAAACTGCACATTATGAATCTCTGAATGGAGATAGCCAGTCAAAAGGCTTTCCTACCTGCTCTTCAGAAACTTCAACAAAAGATGTATGTGGAAGAAGAAAGTCACTGACAGCCAAGTTACTGTTAGAAAGGGTGCAGTCTAAGAAAATCCAGGAACAACTGCATGATTCAGAGAGATTTTCAAACACGTTTGTTAGAGAAGTAAAGGATCCGTCACAAAGTCACTCTGAACTTCAGTTTTCGTCATCAGTAGATGATACAACGTTACCTTTGTCAGAGAAACTGCTAAACATTGGTGAAAATGACCAAGGGCAAAGTGGAAGTCCATTGGAAAGTAATGTGAAAAAAATCAAATGTGACACTTCACAGATGACCCATGTTGCTCTTTCAACAGGCACTGATTATGATCACTGTCTTTTTAAAGACACTGTTCAGATAGGAACAGGCTATCAGAACCCGAGCATGAAAAGGAACGCAGCAATAAAGGAACAAACCAATCTCTTCATTAGTGAAGTGCAACCCTTTATACAACGCTGTGACCCAGTACCAAATGATTTCCCTGGTGCTTTTCCCTCTAAAAGATATTCTGTTGTTGCTAATTCAACAGAGACCAAAGAAGAACTACATGATGTGAACATGGACTCAAACCGGACAGAAGGAAGTTCAGACACTGTTTGTGATAATGCTATGCAGAAGTACAATGATACAGTAGATGACCGGGAAGCGTACAGTAAATCCATCTCCCCTCCTTTAATGCAGCAGCCTATAATGTTCTCACCAGAGGAAGTAGACAAATACAGGTTGCTGCAGCTGCAAGCCCAGCAGCATATGCAGAAACAACTCCTGGCAAAACACCTGCAAGTTTTGCCTGCCCCAGGACCAGCTGCCCTCTCTGCAACACCAGCAGTCCCTGCCATCCCTGTTCAGCAGCACACAACAGTCACCACCATACACCATACACTGCTGCAACGCTTTGCAGTCTCAGCAGCTGTACACCCCCATGGCAGCCATCTCTCGTTTGCACACCTCCATCCCCTCTCTCAGGCACATTTTGCCCCTATATCACTTTCTCCGTTAGCACCAGCTCTCATTCCCACCCACCCTGCTCTGCTGACAGGACACCCATTGCACTTGGTCTCCACCACCCCTATTCACTCTTCCCCACTGAACTTCCCCCTACTGCCACATACTGCATATATCCCAGCCTTATTTGCACCGCAACTGAATGCAGCCACACCTCCTGCTATACACCCAAATCCCATTGTTCATCCATTATTCCAAGGGCAAGATCCTCATCACCATTCTTGCTCCAGCCAGACTCAACAGTTACCTACAATAAAAGAAGTTTTCGGTGTTTCTAGCTATTTAAACTAGTCCTAATGATTACACCTGAGCTCCAAGGAAAAAAAAAAAATCTATTCATTGATCAATCACATATCTGAGGAGAAAAATCTACATTTTTGCCGAGAGCCCAATGGTACATTTGAAGTCCAAATTCTGGCTGACAGCATATGAATGTTTATTTGGTTCTCATATCACAACATAAAAGCAGTTTTGAAGTCTTGTGATACTGTCACAAGAAGAACGGGGTCTGCTAATATCATCCTGCAGGAGGTTTAGAAAGAACATTCTGAAGTGAAGACTGTGACTGTCACTAGGAAGAGGACCACAGGATGTAGGCACAAAAAGACCAAGAATGTCAGCAATGTTGGGTGATTTAAAGTAACATAATTTAAGGTAGTGCAATCTTAGTGCACTTCAAAGGCTTACTTTTATGAGAGTGTAAAGGCAAATGTCATAGTTGGTCTGTTTAAGGTATTTCAGAATAAGCCAAAGAGAAAGCATTTGGGACCACAAGTACCTGATTCTTTCTCCCAGCCAAGACAAGTTCAAGAGACTCAACAGCAGTGGGTGATAAATTAATACTGGAAGAAGATGATCATGGGACCATCTCAATGATACATTAATCATTTTATCACAGATATGTTGCTTTAACAGCGTAAAGGGGCTGCAGCCTAGCCAAAAGTACAGGACAAAAATATTCCCTTAGTATAGGAGGCTCTTAGTTGGCACAAGCAGATTACTACTTTTGTCCTCCAGCCAGGTGTACAAGAAGGCAGTAGAAGTAAAGCGATGAAGCCAAGTTCTTTGACATTGCCTGCTGTGGCTTTAGCATAAGATATTTCAGGGGTGGGGTGCAACATCCCAAAGTTCCAATGCAGCTAGTGTTGGCCTTGAATCTTGGAGGTCCCTGGCCAACACCATAATATCTCTTTCTTGCCAAGCAAAGCACTGACATGTGGAAGAATCTTGCCCAAAGTATAAATAACAAACAAACATTTCATCTCTTTCACAAATGGTCTCATGGTCAACTATGCTGTGATTCTCATCATTTCAAGACATACTGAATCTAAACAAACATGCAAAGTTTCTAGCATGACTTCCCAAGCACTGGATTAACAAATTGAAATCTTGAATCTCTAATGTAGGAAAGCATTTACCTGACCATCAGGGTTAACTGTGATTGAAATCTCGAGGAATAATTGCATATCTGGAAATATGTGGGGGGCTTCAGCATTATTTGGATGGCACGCTTTGAAAATTTTTAAGTTTCTAACTAAACATTGGACACATAGCAAGAAATTATGATCATAATTATGGTTAGACTGCAGATCTGCTTCTCAATATAACTGGACAGTGAAGAGTCAGACAAAAAATACTTATTTAGATTTGAAATATTGAAAATAATGCCAATTCCTTTGCAATAATGTAGTGCACAGTTGCTGATGTCTATTTTACATTCAATATAAAACACATTAAAAACTTTTGGTGGATTTTATTCCATTATATTTGGCTATCTAAAGAAGCTGAGAAATCTAACTGAAATTAGGCTGAGTATTTAAAATACAACTTGAGACCAATATTCTAACTTAATTTTAGTCAAACTAGATTGATCCACTGCGGTAAAATGGAAGTGTTTTAATTTCTAAAAGCAGCTCCTTCAGCAAGAAATGCTACTTTGTCAAACATTTCAAATGTGCTTACAAGTAGTGACTGCTTGTTTTGCAGTTGACTTTTAAAGTTAAAGGTTCACTGTATACTTAATATTTTAGCCATCAAATAAAAACTGTCAGGAAAAAAAAACTTTGGAGACCAAGTAGAAGTAAAACATTTTGTTATGATAAAAAGAGGCTGAAGAAACCAGCATCCTCAAATGCCTTTTTCATTGCATTCCCAGTTGATTTATTCATTTCATTTACAAAATGGGCTCATGGTATTTTTTGAGTTATTTCTCTTCGTTAATTTTCTTATTCTATTTGCAGGGTTCTTTTTCAAATGAAATTATTACTTCAGAAGTTCAGAAGTCAGAAATTTCTATAGATATACTAGAAATATATTATACTAAAAATACACTAAAAATAAATATTCCCATAGTTTTAAAATCCTGTCTCTTTTTTTCTGGCTGAAAATATTCCTCAAATTAGATTTGAATGTAAATATAATTTCCATACTTCCAAAACATCATTTTCTGGAAAACAACCTTACTTCATTGAATACAACTTATTGACTCTGAACATGACTACTCAATTCCTCAGACTGAATTCTCTCTAGTGGTTCACTTGTAGTTATATCTCTGTAGAAACACTTTGAATTGTATATTTAAATGGAGCAGGTCAACCTGTGCTCTGAGGCTGATTGAACTGCACCCCTATCACAGTTTCAGGGCTAACATCAAATAACTAAAAATATGCATTTCAAGCCCTACAATTTTTTTTTTTTAATTTGCAGGCACAATTCCACTCCCACTGAAGATAAACCAACTACTCTTATTGTCTATAGTAGTTCACTTCAAGCTTAAGTGGATAACATTGAGAGAAAAAAACAGAAAGGAAAAAAGACAAATCTCATCTTACATATACACACTTATTTTTCATCCCTCTTTCTTACAGGCAAAATTACTACTGCAGAAATTGCTATGGCAAGAAACCTCATTAATTGAAATTTAACAGAATCCTACTTAGTAAACCATTTATGGGAGGCAAATACATTACTCTCACAGTACGTGCAATAAAATGGGAACCGAGTCATAGGATGTCCATATATCATTGCATATACCAACAAGGATGATCTCACAAGGTGAATGAAAAGACAATAAAAACTTAATTTAATTCATGAAGCAATGGGGATTATGATTTTGGTAGTAGTAGATGGAAAAAAATTGAGAGATTAAAAAGTGACAGAAACAGCACAGTAGCAAAACAACAGTCACTGACTACAACAAAGGGAATGTCCAATATAGTTCTTAGTACACAGAAGAGATTTTCTTGGAGAAATGTAATAAAAACATCAGCACAGCTGAGATGATGTATTTGCTGCCATATTTATTTTTCATCAGTAATGTACTTTATATATGTATAATTATTATTAAAAGCATAATTGAACCTGATGGTTGGAGCCATGCTTCAGTTCTGACTTTATTTACACTAATTTTTAGAAGAGTTATGGTATTCTGGTGGCAAAGATATATACATTTCAAGTTAATAACCTCTTTTAGCTCGATTGTATATTCTTCTTGCATAATCCAAGGAAACAGATCACCCACACTGCAAAAGTCTAATAACAGAAACTTTTGAAGTTCCATAAGGATGAAAGTTCTTAATTTTTATTTTATTTATTTGGTATCTGAAGCACTTCTGGAATACATTTAACATATTTGTTGTTCAAATTTGCATAAAAATGCCTTTGACCACATTGATTTTAAAACTGTTAAGTTTGTATTTAAAACTGGATAATACTCTGGCTAGTATAATATGTAAACTAGTAATTTTGTTTTGTATTCTCTGTATAAAGTGTTTTATATTATACAGTAGCTAAGTTAATTGCACTATTGTACATGCAATGCGGCTTTTTTTTTTTTTTTTTTTAGGTTATTCAAGGAATTCCTGGGAATGTAGTTTAATGCAATAATTTTTTTTTTTTTTTTTCTCCAATAAAATGGCTTACTGGTATAAAGAGTGTCGGTCATGTATTTTTAATGTAAAGCATACCAAAAGGCAGCAACATAATAAAATGCAGAATGCTGCAAACACATTCTGTATTTTAATCTAAGATTTGAAATGCATTTAATTCATCCCTGAAATTTCTTAGAATGTTTCCTAAAAATTTTAGTATGTGTTACAAAAGTGGGTTGTTTAAATGGAACTGAAAATAAATATTCCTTTAAAAAATTATTCTATGTGTTTCTCGCAAGTACTTTTAATTGATCAACATCCTCCTGTATACTTTTATGTACTGATCAGTTTATTTAAAATTGCTCTCATAACTCATTTGTTGGGTTCCCCAGATAATCTGTTTGAGCTATAATTCCCATTTCTCACGCAGAATATCCTTTGGGGAAAAAGCTAACAATAAGATCCAAGAATCAACTATACTTTAATTCATTTTTTTGAGCATTCTTCAAAATTTATCTTTGTCAGAATAACTATCTTCTATCCATGATATCCATTTTACTTTGCATTTTTCCAGTTTGCTTATTGAATACTTTTCTTCTATCTTTTCTATCTTCTATCTTTTATTTATATTGTAAGCTTTCTGATGAAAGACTTCAGATTTTCTCATATGTTTACAGACTTCAGCATCCCCAGCTACTGTTGTTTTACTAGTAATAATTCTAAGACTTGTTATAGCTATTAATATATAGGTTTGGAAGTTTTATATCTCCAGGTGAGCATAAAGACTGAGGCAATGGAAAAACATGAGCATTGCATGGATACATGCTGTCTTTTGAGATATGGTGTGGCATATTCCATACTCCTTCAAGTCTATACGCATAGCCAGAAATAACTTGGCCAATCTCTGGGACAAACTCAGTCTGATGCGGAGCCGTCTCATGACTCGGGCATTCAAGAAAAAATTTGAAATCACAGTAATCAACAGAAACATAATCAACACTTGTACATAAAATGTATCCAATTCAATTGAGATTCTTCATCAAATACAGATTTCCAGTTGAGATCAGATCTCATATGTTTGTTGTTGAAAAACTGTCATATTGTTTTTGACTAGGACATGATATGTGAGGAGAAAAAGTTATTTGCATTTCCCTTTTCCTGGTAAAGGTAGCTATATTTCCCAAATGGCAATGTGAGTACTTGTTCAAATAAGCAGAATTTGTCATTCACTTGAGCATGTTCTTCATCAGGTAAAACTCATTTTACTCTGAAAATCACATAATCTGGGCAAATAACTGTTACCCTTTGTTACAGTCTGAATCCCTGGTCTGTCTAATACCATGAGCTTAACCTGATATTGTGTGTGTGCATGTGTATATCTATATCATGATTCATCTATGCAGGCCAAACCTACATTCAGGA